CACCCCCCGCGCGCACCGACACGCCCCCCGGCACGCACCACTAGCTATGTGACACGAACTAGTACTGACAATCTACTGGAATATGTAGCTTTTCTACTAGGAGATGAGACACGTACTAGGACAGGTGGCACATTCTGTTAGGACATGTGTAATTTCTACTAGGACGTGTGTCATATCTACGAGGACATGTGTCATATCTACAAGGACATGTGTCATATCTACAAGGACATGTGTCATTTCTCGCAAGACGTAACATCTACTAGGACATATGTCATTTATACTTGGACATGTCATATCTACTAGGATGCGTCATTTTTACTAGGACATGTGTGATTTCTACTATTGTGATCTGAGTGTGTGTTTAAATTGCAAATAATGCAATTAAATTGTTTTCAAGTGAAGTGTTGTGATCTATTTGTAAAATGAAGCAGGCAGTGTGTGAAATAATCGCTATGGGTAAATTCCCTACAAATGTGTTCATAACATTTTTAAAAGCAATGTGAGATGTCTTAATTCGAAATTAATTTTGATGAAATTTGATGGTTGTTATATATTGCAATTTTTATGAAATCTATTTTTTTAAGCGTAAATGTGTGAGGAAATTGGTAGCTATTTGTTAGTCGTTTATATTGAAATGTTTGTAACTGTTTGTGAACATATACTGCCCCAAACAATGATGCCAACATGATAGAAATAAGTCATTTAGCTGTGTATTAAAATTTAAAATGTTAGAAAACAATTATTAGGACAATATTCGTAAATTATATATATAAAATGAATTGTGTCTGATCTTATGTACTATTTCGTTTTAGTACCCTAAAGTTTTTTTGACTTTATTTTTCTTTCTTATTACTATATGCTATCTCAAATAGCAACTTATTCTAGCTTTTTTTCCTTCAATTTCATTCATCTATACTATTATAATAAAGCGTAAACACACACTTCTGTGCCTAAGATGTCAGCAATTACAGCATATTTTTGATTATTATTTTTAAAATAAAAAGCCCTAAACTTACGTCACGCTTTAGGCCATTTATTTTTACGCCATTAAACTTATGGGTAAATATTTTTGATGAAAACCCTAATGTGGGAAATAGATAAGTTGCTGCCAACATCAAGGAAGCAAGGTTGTCATGTCATGTCATTTTGACATTTGCAATTAAGAATTTGACAAATGTAAACAATCAAATAAAGTTTTTATAGTTTCACGCGGATGAAGTCAAAAAGAAGAAGAAAGCAATAATGTTTTGATAAGTCAAAAATTAAGTCTTCTTAGAGAGTAATAAATGGCTATATCATTGTATTAGAATTAAATTTAAAATTTGTCATTAAATGAAAAAGTTCCTTTATGCAGTTATGAAATTTAGGAATATTAAAAAATTTACATAAATTCTAATATATATTTAATTATTGTACTTTTTTTATAAATAAGCATTTTCATTTTAAATGATTTTTTAATGAAAAATGATCACAATTAACAATATATCTGTATAAAATATTAAGTTAATATTTGATAAGTCTCTTAGTAAGGGAATTTTTCCCAAATAAAGGCCTCGGTAAACTTCCAGTCTCACTTTTGTGCTCCGGAATTTGTGTCTGCTGGTTCTAAATCTATGGATTTATATATAATAAAAATATCTATTTTAAATAGTTTAGCATATTTTAATAATTTCATTAGGTAATATAAGTGAACCTTGTGTAACATTTATTGTTTCAAATTACTGATTGTGTTTTTTTGTGCTGTGTTATTTGCTGATGTTTTGATTTAAACTACTTTTATTGCAAATCAATGGAAATGTCATAAATATGGTTATTTTATATAATTGAAAATCACAACTTGTTTAATTTTTTTTTACAAAATTCTCTTATGTTTATTATAAGCTCTGATTTTATTGATTTTCTTTGTACAATGTTTGTGACTGAAAGTATTAAAAAATGTATTCGTTGAAATGAGTGAGCAAAATTTATATGTAAATAATTGAAAAATAAGAAAATATAAGATTTACTAAGTATATTTGTTTTATTTTTTGTTGATATATCTAATCTAAATTATTACACTAAATAACTGATTTTTGCCCATTATTTTTGACAATTCAATTATGGCCCCTCATTCCTTTTTCCTAAACAGAGTTATCTCACCAGTTCATGAAAAAATATTTCCCTTTTTAGTAACTAGATACGAAAGGTATAATTTTTTTCCACTTCTATCTTGAATTAATATTCAAGATTTTGTTAGGTAGGGTAGATTCACGTCTTAGTGACTAGTTTTATGCCATCTATCCCATGTTAAAACGATCAGTTATCAATTTTAAGCTAAATTAGTGTTAATTATTATCAATCTTATTGACATTTTACGTTTGACCGCGGTTCTTACTTTTAAGCCCCAAAATTTAATCTGGACATATCACAGTGACGGAATCCAAACAGCTTATACTGAAACCATACGACTAATTTAACTCTGGTGGACACCATACACCCATTATTTAGAATGTGATGGAAAAATAGTACTTGTAATAGATGGCCCGGAAAAAAGTATACTCTCTCTACCGGTCATGAAAGTGGAAATAAAATATTTTTGCCTTTCAGAATTGGTTACCAAACAGCGAAAAACTTTTTTTTTCCAAACTGGTGAGATAACTTTGTTTACGAAATAGAAACGAGGGATGAAGGTTACTAAATGAAAGTAAAACAAAGTGTATATCACAATAATTTATTTTTACAAAGGAGTTATAAATCACAACAGTTTTCACAAGGAAATAAACCATCAAATTCTTCAATATTAGAAATTGTTAAAACTGATATCCTACAGTGAAACTATACGATAAGAGAAACATAATTATACAGTAACATGGGAACTCGATTTAAGTATGGACAAGAACAGCCTCGCTGCTGCGGCGCGCGGCCGCGTCCTCGCTTCCCTAACAGATTCCCTAACTATCGTAACGTACCGAAGCGGTCACTTATAGTGATAAAATTTAACATTGTACACGAAGCACGACAACAGCACGTCGACATGCGATGTCACACGTTTACACAAATTTTGGTCCCAAGGTTGGGGCAGACGCGTCGCCGGGTGCGTGACGTCACGATCCGCCCGCACGCCGCGACGCGTCATCTCCTGCGCAAGCGCCGAGCGCCGGGCG